AACACGTAAATCTGTAGAGATAGTAATTGGATTAATAACTATCTAGGGGCATGGCAGGGGAAGTTGGGAAGAAATGGGGAACTAACAGCAATGAGCACAAGAAAGAAGAAAATGATCTAAAATTGATTATAATGATGATTGCACATCTCTTCTTAATATGACTGAACCATTGAGTTTGATGATATGTGAATTATATACTGATAAAGCTATTATTAGAAAGGTCAAATATCTCATAGCTACCAGTATGGAAGCAGCATATATACTCTTGTTGCTGTTGGGTACCCGTGAGTCAATTCTTACTCTGAGTGATGCCCTCTGTCCTAGGCTGTACCTAGGGACAGATCACCAAGCCTTTCTCCTGTGAATCTGCTGGGTGTGTTCTAACCACTCAGCTTTCTGTTAGCTGTCAAACTCCTCCCATGGTGCCACCAGGCCTCGATGGCATACTCTCAGAGAAACGTGATATCTATGAGATCATATAATGCGGTGTAAAGTAAGTTTATATAGAGGCAGATTTCCAATAAATGCCGTGCTTTCTTCTTTGGATGTTCTTATAGGTTTAGGATTTTAAGAGTATTATAGCTCTCAGATTTTTTTAGTAGGCTCGAAAGGGTACTAATTATAAAGTTTTTGTGTGTTATCCCTTGTGCCCTCAATTTACAACTTAATGGTAAATAGTATGGTGTAGAAAGAAGAACATGTATTATTATTATTTTTAATCTCCATCGTTTATCAACTATACCAAACAATGAGCTAGGTACTGACTTCTCAGGGCCAGACCAAAGTGAAAATAGGCATACAAACCCGTATAGTCTAAAGGAGAAAATAAAAGGTAATAGATAATCGTACAAAGAAATGTGTAATTACAAATCATGGTAGTGGGTTATGAGAATGTGTTTGGGTTTCTAATTTAAAATACGGGAAGTGCATGTCAAGGAAAACATCTCTGAGAAAGTGATATTTCAGATGAAGTAATCAGGAGGCCTGGTGGTGTAATGGTCACACGCTGGGCTGCTAACTGAGCTCAGCCGCATTTCTACTCCTGTAAAGAGTTACAGTCTTGGAAAACCATGGGGCAGTTCTACCCTGACCTCTAGGGTCATAGTAAGTCAAAATTGACGCGATGGCAGTGAGTTTGTGTATGATACAAACAATGAGTTGTGTATGATAAAGAACTTCAGTTTATCAAGAAATGGTATCAATACTGAAAAAGATTAATATACACTGAGATGCCCTATTTCAGACACATGAAATGTAAAGTTTTCTATATATCTCTGAAAAATCCATAGCTAAAATTTGTTTGCCTTTATCTTATATTTGACTGTTGGCTGGCAGTTTCTGTGGGATGAGATAGATTCACACTTAATTAGTAGCCCAAAGGTTGGCAGTTTGAATCCTCTGCGCCAATATCTGCATCCATAATTATTGCAGTCAAGTAAACCCTATGGCTCTCTGTAACATGTGGGGTCCAATCCACTTAGGGCAATATGTGTCCTGGATGCAGTCTAAATGTTACAGAGATTTGCTTGGAGAACTGGTTAGTCTTTTCAATTAATGGTTTTTAGGGTCACAGTTCTCTTGTAGATACACTTTTCCCCATTTCCTATTCCTGCAAAGTAATCGTTCAAATTTTCACCCACTCTACAACTCAACTTGAAGCCGCTTGAATCCAAGATCATGGAAACCAATGAGCATCATCCTCAGAACTGTAAAGACCTTAACAACTACTTTCTGATTATTTGGAAAATTTAGAGAAATATGCACTTTGGATCCAATTGTCCTTATTGCTGCTTTGATTCACTTCTCTGGGAGAACTAATTGTACTGTTATCATAGAGTGTGTTGCTATTATTATTAAATGGTTTCATTTTGCATTAGGTATTAATTGTATCCATTTCCTTATTTTCCAGGAAGAGAAAATACTGACTATTTTTCTCCTGAACTTGTTGTACTCTATTGTGCATCCACCTTAATGATACCTGCCATTGGAATGATCATTTACTTTGCAAGAAAAGCCAACATGAAAGGGTCATACAGCCTGGTAGAAGCACAGAAGTCAAAAGTGTAGCTAATGTTGAAAACAACCAATCAGAGACAGTATTTATCAGTTCCAATCCTTAATGTTGCTCTTCGTTCCACGGGAAAAACAACTAGCTGAGAATTCAGAGTCCTTGAATCTGGAAGAAAATGGCTGTCGGTGCCGCTTGCTGTGAGCAAAAAGTTAAAGGAAAACTTTCGACCTGAACACTGCCATTGAGATGTGGTGGCTGGAGCAGTTCCTTGTTGTGTCTAGTCGAGAACGTAATATGTAAATATGTAAAATAAAATTATTCCGGAGAAGCATTGCTTGGCAGAGCAGCACTCTATATGGAGATCCCCAAGATAATCAGTGTTCCTTGGGTTTATTGTTATAACTTAATGTATCTTAGAAAAAGTTAACGTTAATATTGACTGGCAGCTGACCTATGTCACCTTTCTTATATTTTATATCCTATAACCAAATTTTATTTCTGCAAAGGTCGTTGGCAATAATTTCATATTTTGTGAAAATGACAGTGTTTTAGATTTCTATAGGAAATGATAAATCAAGAGGGCATGGGGTTGACTTTCAGGTACGAAATACCTCAACCAATAAAGGTATAATGGTTGATTGGATTTCTCAATATGGTACTGACATGGTACGGAGATGTTTTATGGTGTGGCTTGCTCACAAGATTCTTGTGTAACTTTCCTAAATGGAACTTCTTTTGATTTTCTTTTGTAAATGCTCAGATTTGGGGTTAGTAAAGTGATGATTCTAAAACTGAAGACCTGTGTAATTTTGAAAAATAAATTGTCTCTTTTTATCACATTGTAGCTCTTTTTGAAAGACCAAGTTCTAAGACTGAAGAATCCTAAACAAAAGTAATAATAATAAAGACTCACTATGGAATGTGATCATTCTGATTTCTGAGTGCCATCCTAACCTATTGAATTGGGGGTATCTGTTTTTGGTCTCTTAGAATCTGTAAATTTGAAATTTTGAAAACTAGCATGCATATTAAAGAGCAATAGATGAACACCTATGTATATACCACCAAGACCAAGAAATGCAGGATTATAATTCCCCAGGACCTATTAAATGGCCTCCCCTGATCACAGCTCCCTCTTTCCACCTAGCAATAACCGATAACCTGAACCATATATTAACCTTCGCCTTGCGTTCCATTTGGAGGTTTTATACCTTTGTTGTGGTGTGCTGTCTAGCTGATTCCAACTCACAGCAGCTCCATATGACAGAGTAGAAATGCCGCATAGGGTTTCTAAAGCTGTAGTCTTTATGGGAGCAGACTGCCATGTCTTTTCTTCTTGGAAACCACTGAGTAGCTTCTAATCATAGGCCTTTCAGTGAAAGGCCAAGTGCTTAACTTTTTTGCTACAAGGATTCCTATCCTCATTCACTACCATCAAGCCAATTCTGTGTCATAGTGACCCAGAGGACGGAGCAGAACTGCCCTTGTGAGTTTCTGAGACTGTAACTCTTTACAGGAGTAGAAAGCCTCATCTTTCTCCCATGGAACAGCTGGAGGTTTCAAACCATTGACCTTGTGGTTAACCGTCCAATGCATATGCCACTAACCATCAGGGCTCCAAAGTTCCTATAAAACCCAAACCAAACTCACAGCCACTGAGTCAATGATGACTCACAGTGACTTTATAGGACAGGCTAGAACTGCCCCCGTCCTTTCCAAGACTGCGATTCTTTAAGGGAGTAGAAAGCCCTGTCTTTCTTCTTTAGAGCAGCTGGTGGTTTTTAACTGCTGACCTTGTGGATTGCAGCCCCATAGGTAACCACTGCATTACCAGAGCTCCCCAAGGTTTCTAGATATACCCCCAAGTATATATAGTTTAGTTTTACGGCTTAGTTAAATAATATATTTTCCCATGACTCTACTCGCACACAAAATTATGTTATTGCATAATCCATTAACGCTCCTGTGTATAGCTTTAAATCATTGAAAATGTAATGCTTTATAGAATCACATTATAAGAGTTTCCCACAGCTTATATACAACTTATATTACACTGTTGATAGGTATTTGGTTGTTTTCAGTTTTTTTCTATTATGAGCAAAAATATTATCAACAGGAATTTTCCTGCGGAACAACAATTTTTTCAGGAATCTATATATACTAATGAAATAGCTGGGCTTTAAAATGTATACATCATCACATTTATAAGAAAAGCAAACTGTTTCCTGAAGTGGTTGGAACAGAAGTTAAAAAGAATTACTATTACTGAACAGTTTGCCCAAATTTGGTATTTTGTCTACCTAATATTCACTACTTAGTACCATTGAGTCTATGCCGACTCACAGTGACCCCACAGGACAGGCAGCATGCCCTGGTGAGTTTCTGAAACGGTATCTGTTTATGGGAGTAAAAAGTCCTGTTTTTCTCCTGTGGAGTGGCTGGAAGTTTAGAACCCTGAGCTTGTGGATTGCAGCTGAACTCCTAATCTCTCCCCTACCAGGACTCCTTTGTCTACCTACTACTTAGGGGAAAAAATCTAGTAGTGTTTTACATTTGCATTTCCCTGATTCGTTATGAAGTTGAGCATCTGCAATGCAGTGAGTCTTTCTTGTAAGTTCTTTCCAGTCGTGGTCTTGTAACTCCCATAAAATGATTAGCTAGGACGATGCTAATTGAGTGACTTATGGCCTACTGTGATGACTGGTCAGTTTGTGGTCCAATCTTCAGTTTAGCAGCTGATTGGCTACTGCTCGTGCCACCCAGTCTTGCTTCATCGGATCCCAATGTGTAGAACCAGACCCTCCAAAGTAATCATTGCATGGAAAGATTGCTCCACTTATTAAAAGGAAAAAATCCCCACCAGAATATTTGTGTTGCCTTAGATAAAGGTGAGCTCCCACTTACTGGAAGTGCTCAAGCGTAGGCCTGGAAGAATGTTAGGTGAAGTTGTGCAGAGGAAGCCAGCACTTGATGAGAGATGATATTAGGTTTTCTTCAGAATATTTTTCAATAGCCAAGTTTTGTTTCATTTTTGAGCAAGACAAAAAAGAGGAAATGCCAACAGGGAAGAAGTTCAAAGGTATTGGAATTGTAGACCATGGGCTTCTACTTCCTGCAATTCAGGGAATGAGAGAGCTTCTTCAACCATGGATGTAAAGGGTAGAATTTCGGTCCTTCCAGTGGTGGGGTCCAGCCAGTTTGGCAGACCTGTTACCTAATTTTTCATTGAGTTCAGCAAACCAGTTGTTAACAAGGCGCTTGTCGTCAGGGTTTTCTCTGAGGTGGGCAGCTGGGCAACCACCCGATGTGGAGATCACACATTTACATTCCGTCCTCTTCTTGTAAAGTTCAGCTGTGCAGCAGCGCATTCTGAGTGCCCACAGTAATGTCCATTCGGTCCCTAGGGACAAAAAATTAGATAGAACCATGCTTGCAATATTTATTTATTTGTTTCATAAAACTCATTGTACTTTTGATGAAAGAATACAATCTTTTTCCCTTGACTTGTTACTCCAGTAAACAAACATATAATATAAGGAGAAAAAGTGTCAAACAACCAGAGGGTGGCATTGGTTTCAGCCTTGTGTGATGCCCCAAATTCCCATGAGATAGTCTGAGTGAATTATGCAATTCCTGAAAATGGTCAAGGAGCTGAAAGTATTGTCAGAATAATTGCTGTACGTTCAGCAGAAATGGAAAGGAGTTTTTCAAAGATGAACATATTATGTTCAGAGAAGAGAAGTTGACTGTTTCTAAGATATCAAACACAGTGACTATGGTCTAACTGGCCACCCTCCAAAGGAATGGGATCGTACTCTTACAGAGAAACGGTGGGTATGGAGTGGATCTCTGGACCTGGGGTGCCTGCCCCGAGGAGCCCCTAGCTACAAAAGAGAGAACTTTACACTGAAGAGGACAACAGAGAGCAGCATGGGTTTGCCTGCCCACAAAGTGATTGCTCAGTACTTCAGGCAGGAAGTTTTCTGGTGGAGCTAAATGAGTTGTTACATTTGCTAGTCTAGTGGTGGTCCTTACGGCTAAACGACTGAGGATCCTGCCTCAGTCAAGTTGACACAAACCCTAATTACCACAATGATAATGTTTGATAATTTCCCCATTCGATTGTGTCAACTTGGTTTTAGAATGGGTAGAAATATGGATCTCCAGCAGTCAGTTGGCCAGATGACTGTCTTTCCGATTTCTTGGTGTCGTTGAGAGAGTGCTTTCAGGGATTGAGCAGCTTGTCGAAACAGCATGAGATACTTCCTGAAAGTTTGGCCCTTCTTGACAATACATCCTAAAATAAGGGAGACAAAGGCTTTCCATTTTTGCTCCTAAGAAGCTTTCTTGACGCACTTCTTCCGTGGCAGATTTGTTCATCCTTCCCACAATCCATGGTACAGTCAGTGTTCTTCACAAACACTATCATCAAAGTGCATTCATTATTCCTTATCCAGTTTTCTCATGCACATGAGGAGGTTGAAAGTACCCTGACAGGGGACAGGTATAACTAATTGAGTTCTCAAAGTGATGACTTTACCTATTACCACTTCAACATTTGATTTAACATTTCTAAGAGTTTTATTTCTGAACTGCCATTTCCATGGATGTTGATGATAGATCCAAGTAAATTGAACCCTTGACTGCCTAATCTGTTTTCCATTTATCGTGATGTTGCTTATTGGTCCAGCTGTAAACATGGAGTTAAGAAAGTCTTTGGTCTTTGGCAGTAAAAACTTCACCGTCTCTTCCTTTACAGCAAGTCGTTATGTTATTTACAGATCCCAGGTTTTTAATGAGCCTTCCTCCAAGCCTGATGCCACATTCCTCTTCATATAGTCTAACTTCCAGATTAGTTGCTCAGCGTACAGATTGAATAAATATAGTGAGAAGATACAACTCTGGCGCACACCTTTCCTGATTTTAAATCAGGCAGCATTCCCTTGTTCTGCTCCCACCGCTGCCTCTTGATCCATATACAATTCCACCTTATAGCCTGCAGTGATAATCCCATTTTAGAGGGAATTCTCTGTGATGGGCTTAAAGTAGGGTTAAATCCTGACCTTAGTAGAGGTGTAAACAAAGCCACACCCTTTGTTTCCTTGGGGACACCTTTAAGACGACTCCAGTGTGACTTAAGACACCACTCCTGGGAGCTTGGTTGGCTAAAAACAAACTACACGTCCATCAAAACCACGCATCCATCAAAAGCATTCCTCAGTATGTAAGAGCCTTCTGGAACACAAAATCGCAAGACCATTCGGAAAAGCACATCCAAGATCTCTGTGTGCAGTGGAGGATGCCGACCTAACCAGATGCACCAGAGACTGTAGTGTGGGATTTCCCAGGAGCAATGGCCAGACTGTGGATAACTTCTCCTCATTTGGCCCAAGACACCGGGCTGCGACACAGAGGGACAAGTGAGCTGACTCCCAAGTTCACTGAGGCCGAAGTCAAGGGACCACCTGGCTGACAGGCAGAGAATAGAAAGAGACTTGGCTAGTGGCTGAGGAGGGGTGCTGCTGTGGAGCAACAGCTGTGTCCACACTTACTGATCTTGCTTGTGGTAACCTCTTCATGTCTCCAGTAAATCATCTAAAAAATAATCAGGAATACCGTCTGTGAGTTCTGTGTGGCCGTTGCAAGAAATCATCAAATTCAGCATGGATACAAATTCAGCGGGGAGAAAATGGTTGGTGTCAGAATAAGAAGGACTGAGGAGGCAAGTCTGACACCTGCCGCAAGGGGGTAGGGGAGCCAGGGGAGGTCAAATATGGCCAGCCCACACTGTGTACAGCTATCGACTGAAGAAGTATCATGGTGCCCCACTTCTTGTAATCATTTACTGTCACATGTTTCCGTCTGGGTAAATGGTGTCGGAAAAATGAAATAGAAGGCACAATTCTTTATAGGTAAAGGACCAGA